CAACAATCATTGGTGTAGTAGTGCTTTTTGTTCCATGAAAAAATTTTGCTTGTATTGACACATTGGTAGTGAAACTTCCTCCACTCTCTGGTGTATAAACTTGCTAGTTATTTACTTATTTCTCAGCTTGTGCAACTCCATGTCATTTTTATGGAGCAAAAAGTGTTCCACACTATCTCATGTTACTGAACAGAGTGGTCAATTCTGAAGAAAATGTACGAGATATTTTGGTCAATTCAAGTCTTCAGTTCAGAGCATGAACTCAATGGTCAGTTGACCACACGCGGCAGCCACTGCACTGGATTGGAGGTAAAAGGCACTCATAAATTCGTTCTCAGACGGCAGATTCGATCACATAAAAGAGCTGCAGATTGATCAAACAAGTCTAGGAGTATATCGATGTTTTGTACCTTTCAATTTGTAGACTAATACTTTCATCGTAATCAGCAAATTTAAGTTGCCTAGCCTTTTTGCTCTATTGTATGGCGAATGTACTGAACACTGTTTCTTTTTCTACCTGAAATCTATGAAATGGCAGAACTCCTGCCTTTGCTTTATACAAAGAAAAAGTTATTTTATATATAGCACATATTGTAAACAAAAATATCAGTTTGCCCAACCGAGGTGAGGATTGTATACCTACCCCTGAATGCATGCTGGTGTCCAGTGCAAAAGCTGCTCATCTTTACTCCCCTGAAGCAGCATGGGGAAAATATCCTTTACACCTAGGTACCATGGTAGTATGCATGCGGTTTAAATAGTTATATAAAATTTCATACAATTTTGACGACATTATGAGAATATAAGACAGTATGCAAATATGCAAGTCCAGGTAGCGTGAAACCAAATGGCCCAGTACAGCACCTGCGGCAAGCCATGTTCCTTGCTGCACATAGCGGCAGTGCTGCACTGGTTCACCCCATTAAGCTTGCTACGCAAGGCCGACATTGTTGCTCATCAGGTTGGAAGCAAGTTCTAGCTCCGTGGCTACGGTTGTAGCGACACAAGCTCAATTTACTATGCGTAGAGAGTAGATCGAGGCACACTATGGTGTTACCGGAGCTCCTGATGCCTCCTAAGCCAACAATTTACTATGCGTACAGAGAGTAGATCGAGGCACACTGGCTGTAGACCTGGAGTTTCCTCTTTTACCTCCACGAAAACATTGTTCACCGTTAGCTCTACCTGCATGTAAAGCATTTCTTAATCATATTGGTGTAATATTGGGCCTATATATATATATATATAGAGAGAGAGAGAGAGAGAGTATATTCTACTCCATATTTTTTCAGGTAATGATATAGTACTCCGTATTTTATTTGATGCAATCATTTAATGTACAAGTAAATTCTAATTCCATGCAGCACCAATCTCTGGAAAAGAACTGGACATATGTCATCATGTTCAATGTCTGCACGTTATTCCTAGTAATTGCATACAAAAGAGATTGGATTTATGCCAAACTGACGCACAGCTCATAGCAGAAGTAAAACCAACTCAATGATTTGTTGACTGCATTTTGTATTGTCAACTGAGACAATTCCATTATTAGAGCATCACCAAGAGATTACGTACAATCTTCCCCAAAAATTTGTTTTTGGGTTTCTTAAACTGAAATAGAAAGCAAAATAACTAATCTCTCCAAGAGAAAGCCTACCAACAGAATTTCCGTTTCCTCCGTCGGCGCGTGCAACCTCCTGACACTCCCTCTGAAACCGCGCGCCGATCTCCCACGCGTGGGAAGGAGAGGAGGAAGGTGTGAGCGGCGAGATTGGGAGTGGGTGAGGGCACCGTTTTCTCCCACATATCAACAGAGCGAATATTTCGGGGAAGGGAACTCCAAAAATCATGCAAGGGAGTAGGAGATCTGTTGGAGTGCCTTTTTCCACTAAAATCCCTTAAAATTGGTTTTGGGGATGAAATAGGAGGACTGTCGGTGATTACACACGCCGGCATGGAAATGCAACAAGAGGTTGAACCCTAGTTGCTGATCAATGTTCTCCAATTTGCGGCGACACAGAGTCAGACTCTTTGGTGAGACGCAGCTCAGGGCCATGTTCTTGCTGCCGTTGCCAGTTCTTCAATTCAGCCGGAGAAGCGCTAGATGTTTGTGGTTCAGATGATCGAGGACGTTATTGACTGCTCCAGGAAGGGACTTGGTCAGTAGGGTGATCGACAATCGATTGCTTGCGATCGAACGAATCAATGTTTTGAGGTGATGCGAGAACTCCTGATACTTCCCAGGCCAATAGCTAGCCATACATGCCAACACACACTGCCTGAACTTCTCTTTGGTTTGCCGTTCTTAGTAAATATTTTCATACAAAAGAACATTAATCTGGTTCTATGAAACGCTGGAGCTGTTGATGTCTCCATCTCTTAGCTTCTGTGTTGGCATTTCTTACCCTAGGTATGTTATTGGGCCTTTATAGAATCTGATTTGATGTGATCATTTAATACAAGTTCCAGTTATTTCATTTGAGAGGGTAAATTCCAATTCATCAGCACTTACCTCTAAAAAGAATCGGGAGATATGCCATGTTCATCCTAACATTCTGATAGATCAATGTCGTCTCAGAATCAGCATGTGGACAATTTTTTTTAGATAAAGGATTTATATAAAACTTGGTCTCTACATCCCAAACATATACGTACACAACCAACCAAGTCCATACATATAAGCACTAAGCCCCTCCCATTACATGGGTCACAAAATACACTTAAAAGACCAAACAAAGTACCAAGTTCAACCAACAAGACCTAAGAAACACTTATTTCCCCAATTCTTGCCCCGGCCACTGGCACCTGTTCAATGGATGCCATCGAGTATGGATGGATCTATCGTGTCCTCTCAACTTGTCAAAATTTCTTGTTTATTTTGTCGTATATTAATTTTGACACAATTCTCCAGGATAAATGGCAGCGAGGACATCACGATAAAATTAAATATCAACTTTTAATCCCTTAATTCGATGCGAATATATAATTATTGATCCTTTTGATGGTATTCATCCAGTGTGGCATTTTCCATTGCACAGATGTGTATCAAGCCGCACACACTCTAATTTGCATCAGCCATGCGTTTGCCATCCTTTAATCCTTACGACGTGAACAAAAGGATGCTTAAGATCTGTACCGTGCAGGGTGGATGGCGGCGAGGCATGTCTCCGTACCTGCGATGCTTGATCTGTATCTGCATCAGAGCATTGCTGCATCCTGCACGATGAATGGCGGCAAAGGCTTCTCGCACCTCTCAGGTCGTCTTGGCGAGCATCATACCTCTAAAAGGATTAATGATGTATATACATCATTAACTAAGGAACAAATGTAGTTGTAGATAGTATATGGAGATATACCCCATTTTCTAATTTAAATATTTTTATTTTTTTTCATGCTTGAAGAGGTATATATGTCCTTATACTTGAGATATACCTTAGAGGTAAAAAAAATTAAATGGGTTGAACTGACTATAATCATTGGCAGTGATAAGACTTCTCTAATCCTTGAGAGCTATACAAGGTACATTCAGATAATTTTATTATCCTTGAGAAGATACCTAGAGGTATCATATTTTCTAGTGTAAAATTTGGTATCTTTAGGTACTAAGTATCTCAAGATACCAAAAAATTTAGTGTAAAATTTAGATACCTCAAGGTACTTTCTCAAGTACTGTAAAATTCCTCAGTACATATACCTCCACCTAGAGGTATGCACCTCCAGATTAATACAAATATCTATAGCTCTTAAAAATGGGGGGGAAATTCAAGAATGTCGTATACCCCAAAAACCTACCGAGAGGGCTAAAAGGTAGTGGAAGTCAGCGGAAGCTAAAAATTCAAACTTTGCAGTATCAAAGTTCTAGGGCATTTGACTTCACCAAAAAAACATAGCAATCACCTCAACTGTCCAGCTTTCATTTGTATAGCAAGCTAGGATCGTCCGGGAATTCATCTCTTCTGTCATGATAGAGCATCCGCATCACCATGAAGACAGCTTGTCGTCGCTGCTGGATGCTAATTGGGTCGACTTATTGGCAGGGTTGCTGGAGACAACGCAGCAGGACAATGTCATCCATCCCAATGGCAATTTGATCAGCTCCATGGCTGAAGTGACCTCTAGCTCTCGGCAACAACCAAGTTACAATAGAGATTCCGATGGTTCCCAGGCCTAGCTGCCATGGCAAGTCACTGGTATCCATATCTCCATGGCTCCATGGGCTCTTCTTCATCCCATCCTCAGCTTGTCACTCCATCACATGTGTGCGGTGGTAGGAGCAATACATTGTGGGGCACCCCTAATGGGCAGGTGATCGCTCCTAGTGATCAACCCGCCCCTCCCCATATACTCCTCTCCCTTCTCTCCTTTCATCATAAATTTAAAAAAAAGTTAGTAAAAAAAATTAGAAAAAAATCTAATACTCTCATTAATGTGCATAGACTTTATACCGTAAACTTTACACGTATAAACTTTATGTATAGAAATATTCTATATATAAAATATTTGAATCTAAATTTGAATTTGAATTGGGTATTTAAACTTTTGACTTATAAACATTCACTCTACAAACTTTAGGTGGATAAACTTTAGATGTGTAAACTTTACGTGTATAAACTTACTAAAAGAGGAAAATAATGCACGCATAAACTTTATGTACATAAATATTCTATATATAAAATATTTGAATCCGAATTCGAATTTGAATCGGGTATATAAACTTTTGACCTATAATTTTTAGGTGTGTAAACTTTAGATATATAAACTTTAGGTATATAAACTTATCCGAAAAGAAAAACTATATGGTGAAAAAAAAAAGAAAGTGGTGAAAAAAATTGATCGTCTCAGGCGATCGATCACTAATTAGCGATCTCATACATTGTGAAGAGAGCAATTTCTTTGTGAAAGGTTTCTCCAACTTTATTCTCAGGCATTGTACACACTCTAAGTCCATCATCACCAATCAGTATTGCAGAGGCTGAGTCTTCTTAGGCTGGTTCTATCAAGTTGATGTAATCATCTGAAATTAATAGAAGCTTCCTTTATCAAAAAATCACCAATCAGTATAGGTTCGAAGTTACAATGAATAATCAATCAAAGCATGTAGTACTAGAGGTAAATTTAAATGAGAGATGAAACTCTCATTTATTTAAATATCATTTCCAATATAATTTCCCAAAATCTCTCAAGTTTCAGTTTGGCAAAAGGAGAAAGAACCAACAGTCACCATGACTAAGATAGCTTACCTCGATCATCTTCCATGCCATACAAGAGAGCTAGAGGATACCGTTGCTGCATCAGCAAGTGAGCAAGATGATTCTGAAGCCTACATGGCTGCAATTTGCTGTGAGGCAGCCGCCGATGGCTACAGCGGAGACCGGCGGCTGTGGAGGGAACCGGCGATGTGATGGCCCACATATCAGTGAGAAGAAATGTGGCAACTAGTCTCAGCGGTCAGGATTGGTTTGTAAGGAAAGTGATATGCATCAGAGCTCCTGATGCCTCCCAAGCCAACCACCATTCATGAACAGCAACACGCCGTCTAGAGTTTCCTCTTGGCTTCATAAAACTCTGTTCATTACTATCTCAGAATGTTGCATTGGGTCTCTACAACTATATGTAGCATTCGATTTGATGCGATCATTTTGTTAGTATGGTAGTTAGAGATGTATTAGGATAGGATTGATTTGTAGGGTAGTTTTCGTTATCTCTGATCCTTTCTTATCTCTAACCATGTACATATTCTCCTACATATACTGACCCCTAAGGCCCAATACAACATGTCCAATATTCGCATTATATCTTTCTTCCTCTACTATTTAACACATTTAATACAGTAAGCTATTCTATAGTTCAATGAAGTGAACTGCCGATCGATCAACGATCATGGTCAATCCATGTAATGTAATTAACTCACCAGTGATCGGTGATGAACCAGGGAAGGCGTGACGAAATTAACAACGTCATAGTCGAGGCAGCAGGTTGCTAGCTAGTTCTTGTTCTGTCGGCATCAGATTTTTTCAATGGTAAACTGAATTCCTAAAATGTTGTTCCGTTCAACATTTCAGGTCAGATTTTGTGGACAATAGACCATTCCTCCCAGCATCTTTGGATCCATCAGATCGAGCAATAAACAGATGGGAGGAAACTAGGTGACATCTCTGAAAATCTCAAGAGAGAAATTTTCATGCGAGATGTTTAAGTCCTAAGTCGATCAAATGCAGAATGGTGGATACCTTATATACTCTGTTATTCGGCATGCTAGAAAGTCTTACATTGTGAAACGGAGGAAGTACACATTAATTCGCATGATAATTACCATCAAAACTGTACTTTTTACCCCGGCGCATGATGCGTCCAACATGCCATCCGCTGGTGAAGGTAACGCAAGTGTATCTGCCTTGCCGTGCCAGGAAATGGACATATATCTCTTCAACGCCATGGAAGGCATCACGATGCAAATCAATTAGATATGCAACAGCTACTAATTTAGTATATTCGGTTTGATGCGATCATTTCACCCATCCTGCATTCACTGTCATACTTCCCGTTGCACCAAAAAAATCGAGCCGCCATTGTCCTAGGTGCTACATGAGAAGTCCTGATGCCTCCTAGGCCAACAGCACGCCACATTGAAATTCTTGAAAAACCACATGTCCTCTAGAATTATGTTGAAATTTTCAGCTAAGAAATGTCAGGAAAGCGCAGCCTTTTGAATCGAACTTAGCCCCTCAAACAACCTAATCTGAAATTCACTCTTATGGAGATTTGAACTCAGGACCGTGGGGTGCTATTCAGATCACTGCAACCACTAAATTGCATGCCCTTTCACAATGGATATTTTTTCATATATTAATTTCAGAACTGTCCATGCAGTTTAATCGCTACCATCAATCATTGCATTCATATCTGTGATCTCCATCGACTCGTTCATTTCTTTCTCAATTTGGGTCCCTTCATCTATTTTTTATGGAGCAAAAAGTGTACTGATAATGAATGCACTTTCTGGTGGTAGCAAACAGAGTATTCAACTCTGAAAACGTATGATAAATTTTCATGGCAGTTTTTTTTTTTTGACAATGGAAATATAACTTCCCGTCTCTATACCAACTAAAAATAACATGGTCATATTTGTGGGCTTTAGGGTTTGAAACTTAGTGGGTGTAGTCATGCACCCACGACTCCACCACCACACCACCACCCAAGTGGTGCTTCCCCCTTGACTTGATTGAGAAATTAATCATCAATGAGGTAGTTGATATTCTTTAACGCACTGAACTTTGTGTTTGCAGTGGTGCCTCCCCCTTGATGCATGAGAACAATGAGTTTCAACTAGCTAGGTGCCATGGGATCAGTTTGTTACTCATTTCTTGCATTCAAAGCAGCAAGTCAATAGCCAGGCCTACTTTTGTGTTGGAGGCATCCCAATGATAAAATGCAGAATTTCTAACCAGTTAGCTTGGTAAAGAATAATTAAAAACAATACTGAGTACTTCAGCTTCAAGCATAAGGAGGAATAACTCATATCACAAGTTCATAATTATTGACGGGTTTTGTCTGGGGAGAAAAATAACGGCAAACAGAAATTTCTGCAGGACACAGTAGCAGAAAGGAATTGAATCAAGCCAACAATTTTTCGATGTGTATTCATGGTTGTGGCATGAAGGATATCCCGTTGCTTTCTTGCATTGGCAGGACCAGAGTACCCCCCAGAACGTAGACCAGAGAGCCCTCCTCGACTATCCTGTCATATTGTCGTGACAGAACAACCGCTGGATGGTGGGCAGCAGCTATGGATTCAGTGGCTATGGCGATGAGCCCCCCAGCAACATTAGAACGCTGGATGCATGAGAGTATTCACAATCGGAGTGGCCTTTGTTCAGTCTTCCATGAAATGTTGATCATCTCCGATAGGTTTCAACGAAAATTTGCAGGAACACAGTGTCCATAGACTACCTTGGAATAATCTTGTAATAGGAAACCTCCCAATGCCTGCCAGGGCTACAGTGGCAACAGGCCATTGCAGTGATCTCCATCAACTCTCACGTCATCATAATGAAATGCCTACATCATCTCATTGCTCGGGTACCTCTCCTTCATCCCCCTTTGTAGGCGAAACAAAAGGAGATATCATATACCTGGACTGAAATGTACTCTCCTCTTGTTCAAATGAGACCAAACACACACTTATCCCCATCCTTGCATCAGTGGTCAGCACTTGTTCGATAACCACACTGTAGTAATTATCAAGAACGGATGAATCCATCGTGTCCACTCAAGATGTCAAATTTGCTTCATTGTTTTCTCATGGATGAATTTCGACACAACTCTCTCTCAGATGAATGGCATCGAGGGAATCATGATAAAAATATACATGTAACAGTTAATCCATTAATTTGATGGCAATAATATATATTATTAAAACTTTTGATGGTATATATTTATCTACATATCTGCATCATACTACAGAAACTCTGTCATGCATCAGCGATGTGTGCCATCCCTATGACGTGTACAACAGAATTCTTGAACCGTCACTCCTGTGCCCAATGTACAAGCTTGATCTCTACATGGTGGATGGCAGCGATGGCCCCTGACATCCTTCTGGTCATCTTGGCAAGGTTCTTTGTGATACCAGCTACTCCATTTCATCAGGTGGCATGAGAGCTCCTGATGCCTCCCAGGCCAACATCCATGGTGCGTCATCTGCTCCATGAAATGTTGCTCATATCGAAACATTATATACTGAAACTTGCCCACCGTCATGCCAGTTGTAAATCGTCAGCAAAAAGAATAATTTCTCGGAAGATAGAAGTGATCGTCACCAACTTAGCGATTTCTTTATGGGAGCAAATGCTGTAGTACCTCTAATTAATGCACTTTCTGCTGGTATAGGCTGATAGCGAACATTAAAGAGTAGCCATGTTCTAGAAATGTGTGAAAAATTTCCAAGGCAAATATTAATACCTGATGTGTATTAGCAAATTAGGTGTTTGATGTTCTCTAACAATTCTTCCCACAAGTAACTGAACTTTTAGTGAGTTTGGGATGATGTTTCTATCAGATGGAATTTAACATAGTTCTGATGGGATATCCAACAAAATGGGAATTCCATCATAGTCGAAATGCCTCAACCACGATGAAGTAAAGATGCAACAATCACTCGTTTATTCGATGTGAACATTTCACACTTTCTTGTTGCCTTAGGAGCTGCAGTTTCCCTTCATGCACGCGTGATCAGATGCTCCATCAATCTTAATCCGGTGCCCTCAATGATACAACTGACATTTCTTAACTGCCATAAAGAACAAAAGAACTATCTTCTAATATCCCACTAGAGAAAATGTGGCTGAAAGGTGGATGGCAGCAATGGCGCCATCACATGCTTCTGGTCGCCACAACGGGGCTCTCGGTGACGGTGGATTGACTTTTTCTTGCTGTGGCATAACAACTCCTGATGTCTTTCACTCCCATGCAAACAGGCATAGCAAACCGACTCCATGAATGACATCTCTCTCTCTCTCTCTCTCAACTAGAAAGGTAGCCCGCGCGAATGCGCAGGCATTCAGGAATCATTGCTTAAATATTTTTTCTAAGATATTTGTTAGTTTTATAATATGTAATATTTAATTCATCTACATAAGCACTTATCTATAATCTTAATCTTCTTCATCATTTAAGAAGACATAGGTCTTTAAAGTCTAAATTAAAAGTAAGGTGTTGTTTTTCTTTCTTAATTGATTGTTTTAGGTCTTATTTTTAACAAAACTCAAAAAAGGTTATTGCTAATAAATGTGTTTTATTTCTTCTTTTAATTGGTTCACATTTGACACAATTTGTTATATGTACTTACATATGAATCAATAAAAATAGAGTAGATATACATATTCTAGACCTCGCTTCCCTATAATATATGTGATCTATATCTTTTTTTAAATATATGTAGTCAACCTGAGTGTTAAAACATAAATTTAATAGTAAGAAATATAATATTTAAAACTATCTACTGCTAACTTAGTGTAGCTTATATATAAGCAATAATATGTACATAAACTCATAATGCTATGGCATAGAATAGGGGGAAGTCTATTAATCTGTAGTCACTTAAAAATGATGCGGTGGTTATGTATAGTTGTCTCAATTCAAAGGGAAAATTAAGAACCACAATGGTTCTAAGAAATTATAAGATTTTCTACAATTGGTTCAATTTACAGCCTGTTCATATTTTTTCTATTTTTTATTTTATACAAATATTATTTTTAGTTCAAATTTACGATATGATAAATAGTGACAACATTACACCCTATTTGTCAAAAATTTTATCTATAAGCAAGTAAGATTGGTACAGATTCTCATTGTTTATTAATGAATGGATTGTATGGGACATGAGGCTACGATAAATTCATGGGCTTGTATACACCAATATGTTTGCATTATGTGATAGATAATTCATTTGGGAACATTTCATATGTAGTGTGTGAGGCTCTACACAACCATTGTGGATACGATTTGATATGGCTAATAAGATATAACTGTACATGCAACATTATTTTCGGAATGTAATGTATTATGAATGCTCCCATCATTTACATATTTTTCTATAAAATTTCCTATTAAATGTTAGGAATTGCGTGATCGAAACCAATCATTATGTATTAGTTTAGCTAGCCTTCACTTGGCATGAATTAATTAGATTTAAATTACATAATCCTTTATGTGAATCCCACAATGCATATCCGATCCAATTGCCACAAAATATTGAAAAGAGACCCTAGAAAGTCTTTGCATTCCAAAGTCCAAATAAATTCTTTCAATTTTTTTCGCATTGTAGTATAGATATGGTTTGGTGGCTATATGGTCCATTTGTTGCTCCTATTTATTATGCCCTATGGCTAAAAAGGTAAGGCAAAGCTAAGCTTGTTGTGCTTTCTCACACCCTTTGTATATGCATTATTCTCCTTGAGACTGGTCTACGTGCTGTTTTTCTGCTTCGATTTCTCTCCTCACTTGTATTTGCGCAAAAAATTATTTGGGTTCCAAAGTATAAATGAATTAATTATAATTTGTGTTAGAAAAATCTAATGGTTGAAAATAATTGGTCAAATGTTTTACTTTTTTTTCATTGAGTTTGTAAGGTGTTTTTTTTTATTTTTTTTAGACGTGGTAACTTAAGACTGCTCTAGGACATGTTTGTTTTGTCTAAATATTATTATTTTGGTTGACATGTAACTATGTTCAAGTGATGTATTTTAATTTTTTTAAATAAAATTATGGTTAATATGGATCTTAAATTATTTATTTAATTATAAATAAAACAACAGTTAAAAAATTTTAAAAACATATATCAAATTATTGATTGTTTTGATATTATGTTGTATTTTAAAAATTGAAAAATTAGAGAGGAGTAAATTGGACAGAAGAGAAGATACGTGCATGTAAGTGCATGCACCTACAGCAAGGGGAGAGGATGAGAGTTTTTTTTTTCTTGAGATAGATCCCATTAATGGGTTCACCAGTACGAGTTAACTATATTTAAACACAAATATAATCTTAGTGAACAAAGTATTGTATTTTTTACTACTTATTATTTTAATCTTATTAATTAATTTTGTGTGTTTCATATTATTCTAATATAAGCTTAATCAAGTGTTTAAAAATCTCTATGATATTCCCATAAAAATGTGTCTCGAGTGACCAATAGCTAGTTAAAAGTTATATTTTTTTACTTGTTAAATATAGTTAATTTAGGCCTTAAATTAAACGACAAAATCTAATATATGTGGATAAAAAATAGCTTTAAGATTCAGATCAGATAGTTGTTAAAATTTGTTATCATATAATATGTTTTCTATCTAATACTACATCATAAAAACAGGAGAGAAAAGGGACAGAAGGAGTGGAGGGATCGGTATATACATGTACGTACGTACGTATAGGATGGAAGGGGTGGGACGTGGCCCACGTATGTGGGCCTTTCAATTTTTTAATAACAAAAATAAATTTAATGGGTCCACCATGTTTAATGAAAAATGATGGTTGTGCCACGTGGCAGTTCAGAAGTGTTTGTAGAAATGCCATGTGGCGGTTTAAGAGTGTTTATAGAATGTTTAATGGACTTTTAGTATATGATAGATAGAAGATAGATTTGTGCAAAATTGCGATGGCTCCAAGACGAACTACAATTAATCTTAGCGACACTGGCTCAGTTTCAAGGGAAAATGCCAAAGAGAACTCTGAATCCTGATGCCACCCAAGAGCCAACAATTATGCATGCCTATAACATATAAGTAGCAAACACGCTAGCTGGAGAGATTTGGAGTTTCCTCTGTCTCCATGAGACCATGACACACATACAGTCTGTTTCTCTATCTCATTGTGTGCATGTAACATTTCCAACTCCTTTATGTTCTATTTGACCTACATATATATGACATCACATTTGGTTTGACACGATGATTAATTTAATACCCTTTGGCTCATATTTTTTATGAGCCAAACCAGGAGAGTTTGCATAATTGATTTTATTGATTAGTTCGGCACATGCATCTGGAGCACTGGTGCATCGGAGCCGTATAGGCATGATTATTCAGTTTGTCACTTAGATTCTTTTTGGATCGAGGGCTCATCGCCCTGCTTTTTGTGGGTTGCAATCTTTACAAAGTACAAATCCAGACCTGCCTCTAAAATACCACCATACACACCGCTTCGATTGTTCATCAATTCGCACATCTCAGTCACCCTTGTCTCTGCACCGGTTCAATGTATGCACATCGTCATAATTAATATCATCTAATTAATAGATTTATCCATGATCCTCTAAACTTGTCCCAATTCCTTGTTTGTTTTCACTAGGGTTGAAACCGATCAAACACAATTGTGATGGATCCAACACGTACTAGTGGAAATCCCAATGTGGTCGAATATTGCTTCAATGGTAATCGAAGGCATCACGATAGAGTAAACACGCAATAATCACTATGTGATTTGATGTGATTATTTCACACCTATTGACTTCAGAGCAAGCTGCATTACCCAACAATCATGCACATGCAACCATATTCTCCGACAATCCTAACCTAGTCGCCTCAAGGATGCATTTGAAATTTCTATGACAGAGATAAGAACAAAATCGATCAGTGATTTCTCTGCTCGAGCGGCCATGGCCAGACAGTGTGCAGCGGCTATGGCGCCGATGCATGCTTCCAGTCTCCATCGCATTGCTCTTGGTGATGCCAGCATTTCCGTATCTTATTGTGGCATGAGAACTCCTGATGCATCCTATGCCAACAGCCATATCAACCGAACCGGACCATTGTTGGATCTTGTGGCCTCTGCCCATGTCCATTAGGAGAGAAAAACATTAAAGCAAGAGAAGTGTTCCAGCCCTTAATAAAGTACTTTGGAGGTACCAAGATTTTATAAAATTTTGATACCTACTACCTAGAGATACTAAATTTTACACTAAAAAATGTTATGCCTCCCGGTGCCGCCTTCTCAAAGATGGTAAAATTATGCTTAAAGCAAGGCACTCATCATTACTATTTGCTAACGTTTCTATTATTTGTCCTTTTGTGGCCAAAGGGTAGTAATTCGGAGTCTCAGACCAACTAAAATTAAAAGAAGAGAAAGACCAAAGGACTGGCTGTTAAACCCTAGACCGCTGCTGAGGTGAAGGCGCCATTAAATCATTGGGCTACCTCTCAACTTGTTGCATGGTATAGCCCACCCAATTTGAGTTCAGCATGGTGGTTACCTACTGCTGTCGTGGAGTTGTAGCCACCATGGCGAAATACATAGCACCAAATAAAATGGCGTTGAGATTTTGGACCTCAGCAGTCAGCATCTTTGGCTATGGCGCTAAGGTCAGGGTCAAATTTTTTGTTACGGTTTATTTCTAAAATAAGTTTTTTAAAAGGGCTAAAGTAAGGAAATTT